ACCAACTTTCATTTCCATCGTTTATATATATGCCATTATTATGCTTATTGGAGAGTTGTTAACAAAAAGAAAATTTCCACAATATTTGGCCGGACATCATTAATTACTTGTAAAAGTGAGAACGAGCCAGTATGTGTCAGTGATTTAGAAGAAAAGTTGTCCGTAGCAATGAAGACCATGCTGACAGTAGGAGAATATTGGTATGGACGTTAATAAAACTATTACGGACCAGAAAGTCGGTCGTGTATAGAGTTAGCGAATAAAGATCGTCAACAAAGCAATGTCTATAAAATCATGCTAATCATGCAAACCCACAGAGTTAGAGGGCATTTTTCATTCATTAAGTAATGTATTCGCTTTTGAACTACCTCATCCACGATCCGAATCTCGCCATGGGCGATAAGAATGGCAGATTTTTTTCACAAAACAACGAAAGAATCAGACGAACCAACGGAATCCAGGGTCTATAAGGCAAGTGTACCTCACGTGTGTAGACGAAGATATATGGTGGATGCAAAAAGCATAAGAGAGGTAGGCCAAAGGAGTAAATAGCTCGGCTACCTGAACGACAGTGTTTTCTGGTGCAAAGTTATGTGAGGAAGAAGCCCTGTAATAACCTCAGATGCAGTACTAAAAGCTTAAACTTGGTGCCTTGACCTTTATATCAACGAATTAAAAAGGTCATTAATGATAAGCCCGGTATGAATTTTCAGATCATCTCCAATTCAAGTATACATTCCAGTCGTATCTAAGGCATGATATCCTTTGATCTATATAAGAGGCAAATTCATCCTATTTCGTTTAGGGCGATGAAGGAGGAGTAGTGGAATTTTCCCACAAGGATACGAGTAAGCCCTACGAAAAGCCTACTCATAAATGACAAGTAAGTAGTGTTGCAATTAAAAATTAGCCTCACGGACAATCCCCCAGCAGAATGCGATATGAGAAAACGCCTGAACTTCCTTGGAATTCACATCCGACATATGACCCATGAGATTATACGTTGCTGGGGGTGCTGATGAGACCAGGTCAATTGAGGTCGAAACCGTAGTCGATTCGAGTCTGAGTGAGAATACCTTTTTGGAATGTGGAATTGTATGGAAACGTAGGTCTAGTCATAGCATTGTGGGAAAATTCAACTACCAACCCCTCATCACCCTAAACGAAAAAGGGTGAATACCAAGTCTCCGGTTTGTTTGCAGTCACTTTTCATTGAGCAGCTACGAATCGACCAGTTTCCAGGTGCCTTTACAAGCGTCTCAGTGGCCTCTAGGTGAGCATAGGCATTAAGAAAAACAAAATTTATATTCTACAACGGCCCGTATCATCCTCATGATCGTCAAGATTCTTCTTCTCTCCGAAATCCATCTCTTAAATATGGCCAAGACCAATGTACAGATGGGAGGAAGAGACTTCTTCGATTGACCGGAGCTAACAAAGACGAAGAAGATTATGCATTGGTTGAAGATGCTCTCGCAACTTGAGCATATTTTTAGAGAGACTTAGTTGAACGTACCTTATCCGAAGTCGTCTGCTATAGTAATTATCATATTTATAAGCATCGGATGTTTTGCCGGTATCGTCGGTGAGTCCTGGCATTCTCAACGTCAAAACGCACTATTGAAGTCGATCGCTCTGCCAAACTTTCTGCAGAAATGGCCCCTCTCTCTACCCTCTTGTCTCATCTTTGCTCTATTCCAACTTTTGACTTGTTTATAATCCACTCCTCAAGAAGTGTGCCCTTTTGGGGAATTCACCGTGGCATCATCACACGTCCCGTTTGCCCTCGTGACCACGAAGGAGAAAATGATACTCTTCACAAGTCTACCCACACCACATGTGAAGGTGGACAAAGTTGCGTGCTCACCAGTTTATGGCATAGCATGCAGTGCATACGGACAGAAATGTATTGGCGAAACAGGGATCAAAATCGGCATATGATCAGGGCAAGCAAAAAGAAGACGCCTGGATCAAGAATATCTATATCTTAAGCCACAGGAAAAGAAATCGCAAGGAAGAAGAGGGTGATGAAGCTTCGGAAATAAAGTGTTCGAAAAAACAACTACAACTTTGGGGGCCTGACAGTCACGGGACTGGGGGAACGGTTAATCAAAACAGTCACAGAAATGTGTCCTTCTTAGCCGAGCTGACTAGAAGTCCACTCGAGAGGCAGGTAGGTGGTAGCAAGCGATCAGAGATAGGAGTGCAAAGTTTGCTCAGAGTGCGCAAGCATGGGAATCATAGCTCAGGAGCTCTTCAGGAGAGGCTGAAGGCTGAAGAGATAGTGCCTGGAGTAAAACGCACACTAGAGCTGGAACCGAGTGAAATCGGTCAACCAGAAAGACAAGAAACGGATCTATGGGCCCATGAAGATGTTGATAGGAGATGAGAGTCGGATCAGCAAATCAAGATGGGGGTGGGGCATGGTAAAATCGCCAAAAGGGCACACCTCTTGAGGAGTGGAATGTAAACAAGTCAGAAATTGTGATAGGACGAGAGGGTAGGGGGTAGGTAGAGAAGTCGAGACAGAAAGAAGAGTGATAGCACAACCATTTCAGCAGAAAGTTTTGTCAAGGGAAGAACTTTACTCGCCTATTTGCTGAATTATAGCTTGGTGCTGAGTGCCAGCGAAACGTCTGAGAATGTACCATGTCCATGGTCCGCAGCAGAGGAGTTCGGACAAGATGTGTGTAACTAGGCCGCCCTGACAACATGAGAGTCGTGAAAACGAGGCCACATCGAAAGGTGACTTCTACCCAAATAAAGGCCCCAACAACTTGATCTTCGTATCTCCGTCGATTGAGTTGGCATGTAGATATTTTGTTGAACTCAGTTCCATTTCACGTGAAAGTGTGCAGAAGAGATGAATACATTTGAAGGTCGACTCCACCATAAGACAAAGGAGGTTGATTTTACCGAAATATTCTTGCTGACACTGTCAGCAAAGTAACAATCTCCTTCGATTCTAACGAAAACGTGCCAAGTTTTCGTCCGTTAACTAACTGAAATCCTCAGAACAGACCATCACCCTTTCAGCCAACTTCAAGCTAGCCAATCTGAGCTGTCACTGTTGGATTTGTACACAATGGGTACATGTGAAGTCACATAATCAGACAAACATAGACACACACACACACACACACTCAAATGTGAAGATAGGCAGCTGATTTTAACAAACTAAGTCATCTAATACCTCGTCAAACGGAGTGTATTTAGAGTATGTCTACACAATTGAGTGATGAACTGTTGAATCTTCTTGATTTTGGTATTGTTGTAAGAATGGAGGCCTGCTCTGGTGAATTCTATCGCCGAAATCGAAGAAGGCTGCTGCTTCGGGAACAAAGTCAGATTAAATGCTGCCGTAAACCCAAACGGCCGTTGGCGAAGAGGAATACGTCGTCAGCTTCTGGCGGGATCTACCTTCGAATCTCTCCATCACACACATCTTGGCCATAATATTTTAAAAAACAAGGCGGCTTGCGTGTTTCAGGGACCGACAGACAACATTTCAACCGAGTTAAAACAATTTTGACGAAGCGAAAATACATTCAGCATCAACACCGGCTAAGAGGGATCCGACGTCATTTCCTGGTAGGATCGACCTTGGAATCTCATCATCTCACATACTTTCATTCGAGTTGGAAGTGAGTTAAGCAGGCATTTAATGTGAAAAATGGACTGGTAGCTAAATTTTCCCACAATGATATAAATAGACCAGCTTGCGGTTCCATTGAATTTCACATTACATTGCTTTCCCCAAAGTTATTCCCATTCAAACCGGATTGAAATGCACTTTTTATCTCATATTATCAGCAACCCAGCGGGATTCGAATCCGAGTCTTGATAACGCAGCGAATAATCTCGACACGAGTGCCCTTTGGTCACAGGAAAGATGTGATTTTCAATAAAGGCCAGGCATTTTCCCATATCACATCTTCTGATGAGATTGTCAATGGAGGAAAGTTGTATTTGTTTTCGAGACTATAAGTAGGCCTATTTTGTTAA